TTTGAAGCGTGTCTTTATTTTCTATATTAATTTTATATAGAAAGAGAAAGACAATTAAGAAAGAGAAATGTTGTTGATATTTTAAAAGTTTTATTATGTACTTTTTTATAAATGTATTTTTTTCTTCGAAATATAGAATATTTAGATAATAGAATGTGAAATTTAGAATACCAATAATAATTTCTTTAAGAAAAAAAGGAGAATAAATGAAAAAAAGAGAAAGATAGACTCCTAATCCGAATCCTAATCCCCCCAAAATCGTCCTCTTCAAACTCCGGAGACAACACCGTCAACCAACGTTAAAACTATAGTCATTCTTTACAATTTTAAATTCAATAAAAAATTATTAAAACGGGAAAATAAATACATTAAAATAACTTATCTTGTAATTTATTCATTTGTGATTGTGAAGTACAGTGAGCCACTTATGGTATGGTACGTCGGTCGAAATCATGAACTGGAGTACACCTTCTAGTGAGTAAGATCAGGATAACAAAAACAATGACAAACCCAAAACCTGTATGTCATATGTCTTAATTTTAATACATACGCCGATCAACACAGAAATCTAGAAATATATGAATATACATACAACATCTAAATTTCCCAAACAAGAAAAATAAGAGCTGGGAGTAAGAGGGTATCTAGCTATCTGTTTCATATATGCGTGTGTGTGTGTGTGTGTGTGTGTGGTGGAGGGAAAGACACCAGGAAGAAGGAGAATTGGGAGAGCAGAAGGAGGCGGGGCCTGGGACTGGCCTGGTTTAATTTCCCATTCCTTTGTGGGAAAGAGAAGGGGCATTGATGAGCAATTAAGGTTTTGAACGTTGACTACCAAAATTAAGTGGTGAAATAAAGCCAGCGAGCGCGCAGATAGCAGCTGACAGAGAGAGAGGTGAGCACGCACCGCCCAAAGGTATGATTTTATACAATTGCTGCCTCTGTGTGCTCACTCTCTTCTGTCATCTACGCTCAACTTAACCTACAGTTCTCTTCTTTCTTTCTAGGGCTTTTAGATTCAGGTTTAAAAACATAGATGATTTTTAGGAGTGGGTACAATTACCTAATTATATGTATTTATTTTTTTAATGCTTATTTTATATTTTCTAAAAGTATTAAAAATCAATTAAAATTTTCTAATATTATGAATTTTCAACTCCAAAAAATATAATGAATATCTTATAACAAAAAAATAATATATTGACATAAATCTATCTGCAAATCATTCTACCTTAACTCAAGTAACAAATACATGAATGTATATCTTACCTATAAGTAAGATATGAACCTTAACTAAAAGGTAGAAAAAACATAATATATCTACAAGCAAGACACATGAATCTTACTTGATTATAAAAAAGAATCTGTCAAATACGTAGATAAATATAATGATATAGGTTGATTATAAAAATAAAAACTAAAATCTATTAATGAGGTTTAAAATGGGATAAAGAACAAGAAAGAACAAAATAAATAAATAATCAAATAGATAATTAGGAAGAAATTTGATTTTTATAATAAATCTCATCATTTAAGAGATAATTATTGATAATAAAATAATAAGATTTAAGGAATTGGACTTATTTTAATAAATTGGACTATTCCTACTATTAGCTCAAAAAATTGGACCTATATCAAGTTTCCCCTTCTTTATAATATATACAAATATATATATATATATAGCTAATTAGTTACACCAAGTGCAATGGTCAGCCTAGCAGCTTTCCTCCACTTAAGGAATATCATGTTTTCATTAGGGTTTTGAATTTGAAATGCAATACGAATGCCCTATCTATCAGGATAATTTGAATTTGAAATGTAGTACGAATGCCCTACCTACCAGGATAATTTACTATATACACTTGCGGAGTCTTTCAATTCGTCAGAGGAAGGAGGGCGGTTGATTTCTGATCTCCATTATTAATGGTAAAAGCCAGGTTTGCGGATATAAGGACTCATCATCCATCCACATCTGAATCGTGTCCTTGTATCTACGTCTCAGTACCAATAGTAATTCACCAATACCACTAGTAATTCCATGTCGAATTCATAGTAGTACTAGCTCTTTGGAAAGAAAATTGCAAGGAAATTCTCTTAAAAGTGGAGTATCCATAGGCTCCGTCATCTTATGTTTTTATCATAATTTTCGTGCTAATATTTTAACAGATTGTACCAAACACATTAGGATCTATAAAGAGTTCTACTTTTGAGAGAGTCCTCACTTAACGAAGAGTTCTACTTTTGGGAGAGCCTTCTTTAACATTTCTCCAAAATCGTCAAGTTGCACCACTAGCTTAGACTAGTTGTGGAATGTTGTACTGAGGAGGGTCTGTAATTGCGTTGGCATTAAAAGTCCCATTGGCCACTTCTCTATTGCGGTTGCTCGGCCTGTTTCAGCCGTCAGATTCACGTATAATATGATTCAATCTTAATCTCAGCCTTTAGATTTAACTTAGGGTTTTATGTATATTGGAGCGTTGGTGTGGTGTTTGGTGGGTTCGCACTGCTACGTTGGTGTAGTGAAAGGGAAAGGGCAGAGGGGAAAGGACACCCAGAAAAATGGAAGGGAGACAAGGATAAAGACTTCCATTAAAAGTCACCCACCCCTGATTAGTTTTCAGCATATATACCGACTCTGCCTGTGCCTACACATGCCGTACGCTGGCCGGCCTTCTTTTTGTGTTGTTTTATCAGTTGAACATGCGTATGATAAATAGTTGGTTCTTTACATAATTTTTTTTCATCAAAACTTTTATGAGTAAAGTTTAACATTACACACTAATAGGACGAAAAATGCACTTAGGTAATAAAATTATAGACGGTGAATTATCTTAGTAGTTAGGACATTCTTCTTCAACATTTTAATAATGTTCGAGTTTTAACTTCTTTTCTCTACCACCATCTTAGTATCATAATCAATAGGATAACAAAACCAACAAGTCTAAAATTGCAAAATTTTAGCCGACAAAAAAAAAAGATCCACAAATAAATAAAAATCTCACGTTACTAAAATTCAGCTTTATCACTAACCAAGTCTAAACAACTCTCAAAACTAACAAATTCTAAAATAACCCATAAATTTAAGTTTTAACAACTACTGTTAAAACTAAGCTCCAAAATTCAGCTTAATCATTATCTAACTATGTGGACAGAGCACACCATAAAGGAGTAGGATTCTCTTCCTTCTTAATCTCTCTCCCTTCTCATCTCTTCCTATTTAAATGGTTGCGATTACGCTACGTCTACATCTTGTTTTGAATTTTTTATATAGAGAATAAAAAAAAAAAAAGAGTGTGAGAGAAGAGAATGAAAGAGAATAATAATAAGAGGGGAGAAAATCATACTCTCACGTGGAACATAAAAACATAATTTGAAGGGCAAAGTGAGTCAAATTGACTTCTATGGGGCAAAGGTGGGATCGTCAACCCATTCAAGAGACAATCAATTAAACAACCCTACCAATAAATAAATAAAATAATGTGAGCACTTTACGATGAATTTGTAGCCCAATCGAGTAATATTCACCTCAATTATTGAAGGCTTAAATTCAGTCACCATAATGCGTGGTACAAACGCGTCATTCACATAAGTCAAATTTTAGATCAAAATTTTGACAAAATAATTTAAAATTTTATGATTACATGACTCAATTCTTATTGGATAATGCTAGCAAGACCAAATTTTTTAAACCAAATTTGCAAACTAAATTATGTGGTTGTCGATTATTGGATTATATTAAATGTTGATTATCGTGCTTATTTCTTATTAGTGACACATCATTTGGTTAAAAATTGTGATTTCCCTAGCATTACCCATTTTTAATTATATCAAAGCCATTTTAGATAAAACAGCACTCATTGAGCACCTCACACCTTTTTAAGCATCTCACACCTTTGTTTAATTTTGTCTATTAGATATAATATTTGAGAAACTAAAAATCACCTCATCATTTGCGGGCTCACATCCTCATCCTCTACGGGTGACATGTACAATGAATGAGAAAATCTTACTAGATATCTAAGCCAATATATTCAACCATGAATAGTATTTTTCTAGACCAAATTATATCAAGGGTTGTATTCCATTTAATTGTGAATTAAAAAATATATATATATAATTGTCTAGCCGACTTTAAACGGGTGAAGTTGCATTATGATAGTTAATATTTATGCAATGGTGTACTTAGGTAGCTATGTTGTCTTCAAGAGTCTCATTTGATCTATTTCTCTAATTTGACACTTACGGTTACACTGTCCATTTCAGATATAGAATGTTTCACTTAGGGTTTATTTTTGTTTGTTAGATAGCCAAAAAATAGAAAATAATGTTTGACATACTAAATATCACCTCATCATTTGCGGGCTCATGTCCTCATCCTCTACGGGTGACATACATGTACAATGAATGAGAAAATCTTACTAGATATCTAAGCCAATATATTCAACCATGAATAGTATTTTTCTAGACTAAATAATTGTATCTCATTTAATTGTGAATTTAAAAAAAATATATTGTGAATAATAATTGTCTAGCCGACTTTAAACGGGTGAAGTTGCACTATGACAGTTAATATTCATGCAATGTTTACTTTGGTAGCTGCGTTGTCTTCAAGAGTCTCGTTTGATCTACTTCTCTAATTTGAAACTTGCGGTTGCGCTGCCTATTTCAGCCATCGGATGTTTAAATTAGGGTTCATGTTGGACTGTTGTTGTGATGATCTGGTCATGAATATGCATAGAGTCTCATTTGATATGTTTCTCTAATTTGACACTTGCGGTTGCACTGTCTGTTTCAGCCATCGGATGTTTAACTTAGGGTTTATGTTGGACCGTTGGTGTGATGATCTGGCCATGAATATGCATATGCTGCCTGGCCTGGCCTTCTTTTTGTGTTGTTTTCTCAGCTGAATATGCATATAATAAATAGTTGGTTCTTTACAGAATTTTTTATCAAAACTTTATTAAAAAAACTTACATTACAACAAACACATTTATAGGAAATACGATAACAAAACGGCAATTGGTATAAGTGTTTGGAAATAAAAACAAAACGTAACTGCAGTTCGGCAAAATCTACCAACCCAGCCGTTAAGAGGGTAAAACAATTTAGTAGCAAGATTAACTTATGATTCATAGTAATTAACTACAATCATGTGATCATGTAGAATGAGCATAAAGTGATGCTGTCTCTTAGACTCAATTTTTTTAAGTGCTAGCCGTCCAGCACTAGATTCCTTTCGACCGTTTGAACATGGAAAGTTTTCGACGGTGGTTTCCACCCGAAATCTTGTGTTCAAACTCTCATGATCATAGAGTTTGATAGTGCCAAGCCTAACAGTTTTGGTCTCTGGGATTATATATCAGGGCATTCCATCGCCCGCCCATCTTCCTTTGAACTTTTTAGTGGTGAGATTGAATCCTGGTATTGTGCTTCTGCAATCCTTTTCACCGCTTCATTCCACACCATCCCTGACCCCATCATCTTTCATGACGGTTCTGCACGAAAATCATATAATATGGGACGTTCATACGTCAGAACAAATATAGAAAACTCGAGAGACAGATGGAGAGACACACTAAACATACATTTATAAAAACGAGGGATTAATATAGCCCATACATTCTAAACATGGAGAGAAACCAACACAAAATTGCACCAACTTCTAATTAACAGCCAACACGTCAGCTATTATGACATCCTAGAAAAGTAGACGACGATGAGGTTCCACACACCATTACCATTTGTGTCATGAGTTAACAGTTTAGAATGGTAAGCCCCAGAGATTGAAGGTAAACTGGGATGTCGCACCCCATCCTGAGAACAAAATTTTCATCGTGGTGTTCAAGGTTGAAAGGTGGCAAAGTGCCAAACCTGAATGTTGAGTTCAGAATTGAAGGTCGCAAAAAGGCAAGCGAGATGGCAACACTAATACTGACGGGGTATTTTTTTCAAATTCATCACCGAGGCCACCAAAATGACCCTTTTTGGAGCACATGAAACAAGACTTTGATAAGTAACAAGAAATGTCCACTTCTTTATGTTTTACGTTGGTATTTGCCGGATATGGAACTAATTTAGAGTTTATGCATTTCATTCTCGTCCTAGTTTATCAAATGTTCTAGTCATTAAACCCAAAAGCCTCTTGAGGAACTTGCATAACAACAATAGGAAATACTGCAACTCATCCGAAGAGCTTAAACACGCCTCCCTTCTCTCTCCTCCCCCCCCCCCCCCTCCCCGGCGGTGGGCGAGCACCCCAATTCAAAACAAATGTTCCTGATGTGACTTCTAGTCAACTAATCAAGATTAAACAATGTAAAATTTATTAAACTTTAACGAAAATGGGTGATATGAACAGAAGGAAGAAGATTAATTAAAAATAGAAACCACACTAAAGAAGTGGCGGCCAACTTTAATTTGTAGTTGTTGCCAAAACTCACTTCTGTATTCCACCCACAAGAGAAGTACGCAAGGAAATTAATTAATTCAGGTGTAATGAACCACACTAAAGACCTTCTTAGGCGTAGCATAAAAGAGAAAAGGCAATAAAAATAAAGAAATGAACATACAAAGATTCTAGGAAGTAACAAAGACCATCAAGTATTGAGAATTATATGCAAGATATATGTGAAACAGTGGAGAGAAGAAGAATCCACCCTACATTAGAAATAATTAGGTTTTACAAAGCGATGTACGCATATAACCAAAAACGGTGTGCAAAGATACAAACATAACAAAAACGTAAGATCAAATATACTCAAATGCCATGTTAAAATTTAAAAATATAGAAGGTCGATGAGTAGAAATAGGAACGAAACTAATATTAGGAGTTACACGCAAGCCTAAATTAAACACAATCCACATTGTAATATAAATAAAAAATATACTTTAACTGGTGCATAAACTGCTATAACAAATCATACAATTCATGGAACTAATTAAACAAGTTAAAGACTACAGAATATCCAAGCTTGGGAAACTTAAAACCATATACCAAAGGGATACAAGCCATTTATTTCGGATCTCAGAAATTTAAGCCATTTAATTATGCCCACAAAGACCAAATAGTTAGAGGACCAATTTGGGAAAATCGTTCATTTCATGACATTTGGATGGTTCTCAAACCTAGCCTTGAGCAAGGGTGAAGTGCAATATTCTAAAAACTTCAAAACACACATCTTGAGCAATATGATGCTTACTAATATGTCTCCATGACTCAAGTTCATTATAAACTTCTCATTGCAATGAAATGAAGAAGAAACCAAAAGTTCATCATCACCAATTAGTAATTGATCTAACCCCCACTAGAAACCAAAGTGTGTGACTAATGCGGAAGTATGAACATAATAAATATTTCTTCTCACAACAAAATATCCACAATAAAAAATTTAAAGAACAATACAAGTAATTACTTCAAGGTAGTGAACCATGCACACTAAAGATTCTCTCAAGCGCATAATAAAAGATAAACTGGCAATAAAATTGAATCCATGAATATAATGATATTAGGATTGGCATGGAAAAGTATTTGGAATATGTCACTTCCAATACTAAGATTCTAGGAAGCAACAAAACCCATCAAGTACCAGAGAAAAGGAGGATCAAACCTTCACTACAAAGTGATAGAAACATGTAATTAAGAACAGTGTGCATGGATAGAAATATAACAGAAAAGCAAGAACAAACCTACTGAAATACCATGGAGATGAATAGATATAGGAAATGAATTAAAACAAAGATATCTGAAAGGGCTACATGCATGTTAACAAATATAACAGAAAAAACCCGAACTTATATTTAGAGTTACACATAAGTCCAAATTGTAATATAAGAAAAGTAATTTCAAGACAAAAAGAAACACAATATTTTAACTAGTGCATAAATTACTCTAGAAAATTTTGACAAACAAGGTAAAAAAGCTCAAACTTTGGGAATTCAATCAAAAGGATTTTCCAAAGGCATATTCAAGCCATTTATTTTGGACCAGAGATAATTAAGCCATTAGTTATGCCCAAATAGAAGATGTGGGTTAGGCTAATTGGCTAGGACAACATATCCGCCCCCATTGTACCTAAGTATGAATCCCCCATTGCACCTAAGTATAAATCCCCGTCCTAGTAGATTAAAGTAGTTTAGAATATCACTTTGCCAAATATTATGTAACAAAGCTAAAATGTTAGGTCATCTCCAATGCACCGGAAAATTTAGACTCAAATAATGTTATATTTGAGTCTAAAAATGAGAGGCAAGGACTCGCCAATGCACATGAGACTTGGGCCATTCCAATGCACTAGAAATTTTTTACTCGAATCTCATATTTGAGTCTAGATATGAATCAAACATCTCCAATTCACTAGATACTTAGGACTTATATGTAAGTTTTCAGCTAATATGTGACTCTAATTTGGAGTCTAAGGTGGATCCCATGCCAACAATAAAAAAATGCTTTTCGACCAAGGAACATAAGATGAGTTTTGACCCCAACCAAAATTGTTAAAAATCACATTGAGAGTTTTGACTTTATGTTTTCTCTTCTAAGGCACATACCTTAATTGTTAAAACTGAAATGTGGGTTTGACTCCAATGTTTTCTATTCCAAGGCATTGACCCAATCTTAACAATGTGCATTGGAAGAGAAAACCAAACACTCAAGCCCACCACTATTTTTGGACTCAAATATAAAAATATAAGTTAGGAATATAAATCTTCCATCATAGATGACCTACCATTTGTTCCAAATATTTATTAAATTGTTCTTTTGTGCTCAAACCTAGAATTGGCCTTAATATGAACCTCGTCCAGACCTTCAATCATATGTAATAGAAACTCTCTGAAATTAATCAACAACCATATTTTTTTCAATAACAACCTGCTCTGCACAATTAATCTGGTATGTATATAGACTTCAGACTTGCAAGCTAAGTTTCTAACCGATTATTAACACCCACCACCACAACAACTAATCTTCTAATCTGAAACAAGTGTCAAACATCTAATTAACAAGGAACCCTTGAGCTCCTACAATTTACTTATACACTCCAATTTGGGTATCCTATCAGGAATTGGGATAGGTCAACTGTAATCATTAATCTGATAAAAACTTAAACCTCACATGGAAAACGGATTAGATATGTAATGTTCTTCAAACCAGTCTTGAAAAGAGGGCATCCAGTGTGATGCTTGCTATTTGTAATTTATTCTTAAATCCATTGTCCATGACTCAAGTTCATTATCATCAACTAGTAATTGACCTAACCCATTACATTAACTAAACCAACATATTTAACTAAGCCAAAAGCATGAAGATAACGAGTATTTCTTCCCAAAAACCAAATATCCAGATTAAAAATTTGAACATATGTAAAAAAAAACAGTACGAAACAGAAAAGAAATCGATAAACAGAAGTACAATCAAGGAGATTACAACTGATACGTACCTTGATGATTAAACCTGCGGCAAATTAATGGAAGCAGATCTGCTACCACTCACTGACACCAAAGCATCAACAAGTACTACACTTGTACTTCCTACCAAATATAATTAATTAAAAGGGAATGATAAGTAAATTAATCAGAAGAAAAGAACGATATAAAACAAACTTAATTATACATGCTTCCATAACAGAACACCTTTCCTTTTTTTTTTCTCTGAAAGGAATTTTGATTTAAGAATCTCACTTATGACAAAAACAAAAGAAAGCTGAGATCTGGCCAGATAAAAAAGAGTAACATGTGTCCATATTTAGCAGAGCTCTGACCTTAGGGTTTATATTTCCTTTTATCAGCCGATTTGGGGAGAAGAGCTCAATGTACACTTATATGATAATTTACAGTTTTTATATGACATGCACAGAGAAATAAGCTTGCATGAAGAAGCAGAAGAAGAAGAAGAAGAAGAAGAAGAAGAAGAAGAAGAAGAAGAAGAAGAGAGGAGGAGGATGAGGAGGATTTTCATAGAAAATAAATAAAAGAAAAATTGCAGGAATTTCCATGAAAATAGAAGAGGGATTCGGAGGGTTCTCATAAAATAATTTAGTATAAAAAAGGATAACTGCGGGAATTTCCATGAAAAATTGAACAGTAAGATAACAAAAAGAAGGCGTACCTTGAAGAAACAAAAGAACCCCAAACCGTCCTCTTCAAACTATTTGAAGATCTAGCACGGGACAATCAAAAGGCACGCTTTCAAACTCCAGAGACCAGACCGTCTACCAGCATTAAAATTATAGTTAATACTAAAATTTTAAATTAAATTTAAATGATGTATCAGTAATAATAAATAAAAACATTAATTAACATTTAATTAATCATTATTTGATTTATAAACTTTAGTTTAAAAATTTATCTTCTTATAAATACCATAGCCATTCTTTACAATTTTAAATTCAATAAAAATTAATAAAATAGGAAATAAATACATTAGAATAACTTATCTTGTATTTCGTTCCTTTGAGATTGTGAAGTGCAGTGAGCCACCTAAGGTCTGGTACGTTTCCAAAAGGTCGGATCATAAACTGGAGGACACCTGTTAGTAAGTAAGAACAGGATGATAAAAACAATAACAAACCCAAAACCTGTATCGTCATGTCATATGTCTTAATTTTAACACATACACTGATCCACACACACATCTATAAATATATACACAACTTGAAAAGTGAGAGCTGGGAATCAGAGGGTATCTAGCTATCTGTTTCATATATGTCAGATATATACATATAGGGTTGGGAGAAAGACACCTGGAAGGAGAATTGGGAAGGTAGAAGGGGCTGGGCCTGGGACTGGCCTGGTTTAATTTCCCGTTCCTTTGCGGGAAGAGAAGGGGCGTTGATGAGAAATTAAGGTTTTGAAACGTTGACTATATGTGGTGAAATAAGGCCAGCGAGCGCGCAGATAGGAGCTGACGGAGAGAGATGTGAGCACGCACCGCCCAAAGGTATGATTTTATACAATTGCTGCCTGTGTGTGCTCACTCTCTTCTGTCAACTACGCTCAGCTTAACCTACAGGTTTCTTTCTGCTTTCTAATATACACAAATACATATATATAGCTAATTAGTTACACCACCAACTGCCATGGTCAGCCTAGCAGCTTTTCCTTTCACTCGAGTAATATCACATTTTTATTAGGGTTTTGAATTCGGAATGCTATGTGAATGCCTTCTCTGCCAGGATAATCCACTATGTATACACGCGGAATCTTTCAATTCATCAGGACTTGAGCAGGGGGGCTGATTTCTGGTCTCCATTATTGATGGTGAAAGCCTGGTTGGTGGATTAAAGGACTGTCATCGATCCATCCACATCTGAATCATGTCCCGACATTTAAGTACCAAAAGTAATTAACTAGTACCACTAGTAATTACGTGTCCAATTTGTAGCAGTACCACTGCTTTAGAAAGAAAAAATGTAATTACATTTTACTCCTTCAAAGTTGAATAGAATTACAATTTTATACAACAACTTTTAAAACATTTCAATATCATATTTTTATTTACATTTTATTAAAATTTTATACTTCCGTTAAAAATTTTGTTAAAGATTTTGTTAAGATTACAGTTAACTAATGACGTGGTAATTAAATTTTTCATAAAACAAATGAATATGACAAAATATATAATTTTTTTATGTTAAATGGGCCCACCCCTTCAACATGCACCTGTAATTCTGCATCTCTCTCTTCGACTCCATTACGAGAGAGGTAATTGGCCAGTCGTCATCTTCGTCGCCATCATCGGCCATCACCACCACTACAGCATCCTTGAGCCGCTTCACTGCCATGGTGCTCCCGTCGTTCAGCACCGCCTTGTACACCGCCCCAGGCTCTCTTTCCCCAACATCTCCGCTAGTGCCCACATCAAATCCTCCAGTTCAAACGGCTGCCTGTGGTAAAAAAACACAAGCTTGCTTCTGTCGGTCGGAGGCTGTGAAGAAGTGGGAGGCGAAGAGGGTCTGTCTGTGTAGCACCAGTATAAAGGTAAACCCAGAAATTGCAGAGAACGTGGGAAAGATGGTTTCTTTCTTCCGTTTTCGAAATTGAGAAAATATTGGATCTTTGCTGTAGTGGAATCGAAGCTCGGCGACTCAGATGAAGGCAATTGAAATCTCGGAAGTTCAGAACGTCGATTGGGATTGGAAGCGTGGTGGGGGAATCCCTGAAATTGGGGGTCTGTTGTTTGACCAAATTGAAAACGAGAGGCATTCTTTAAGCACGAGGCCAACCTCGGCGACGAAGGCATGGAGGCCGTTAGAGCTGCCGTTGCCCTCGAGGTTGAGAGCGAAGGAGGATGAGTGTTTGGCAGAGGAAAGGAAGAACACATCAAAGTTCATACGAACGAGACGTACCTCTAAGTTGTTTTCTTTATTTATTTTATTTATAATTTTTAAATAAAATATTAAATAAATTCAAATAATTTTGAATAGTTAAGTATTTTTTATTATTTGTTTGGCCATGTGGAACAAGGTGGCATACATGTCAGCTCAAATATGAACTTTATATTTTACCATGTCATCAGTGAACTATAAAATAACAGAATTTTTAACGGATGTATAGAATTGCAATGAAATGTAAGTAAATGTATGTGATTGAAATGTTTTAAAAATGTTATATTATGTTGCAATTTTTTTCAAACTTGATGATGCAAAATATAATTTAGGCAAAGAAAAATGTTAAATAAACTTTTTTAAAAGTTGGATTACTAAGACGGCACATTTTCATAGTAACATTATAAACTACTGTGCTAAAAACATGGGGCGACAGTGAGTTCATAGAAAATTTTATTTTTTGAGAGCTTTTCCTTAACATTTCTCCTTTGAAAATTGTCAAAGTTACACCACTAACTTAGTACTAGTTGTGGAATGTTGTGCTGAGAAGGGTCTGTAAATGCGTTGGCATCAAAAGTTCCATTGGCCACTTCTCCATTGCGGTTGCTCCTGTTTCAGCCGTTGGGTCCACGTATAATGTGATTCAATCTTAATCTCAGCCTTTAGATTTAACTTAGGGTTTTATATATTGGAGTGTTGGTGTGGTGTTTGGTGGGTTGGAACTGCTACGTTGGTGTAGTGAAAGGGAAGGGGCAGGGGAAAGGACACCCAGCAAAATGGAAGGGAGACAAAGATAAAGACGCCCATTAAATATCACCCACCCTTATCACTTATTAGTTTTCATCATATATCCCGAAAATCAGAAAATAATAAAGTGGCCTGTGAAAGATTGGTTTGAGGCACAAGCGAAGTCTCTGCATATGCCTACAGCCTACACATGCGTATGCGGCCTAAGTTACTGAAATATATATAGCTTAGGCGAATTTAATTTGTACAGCATTAGCCTAAGATGTTGTGTAAAGTTTGTTAATATTTCATAACCATTTATATGAAGTTTATTATATTGATTGACTTCGTATAATAAATTCGAAAAAACCTTAGACCTGTTTGAAAGTCTGTTGGATACGCGTGTCGACGCAGTATGTGGCTCTGCAATCGAACTAATTCTTAAATATCCAGTCCAGACAGTTCGCAAGTGCGCTACTATGTGTTTAGTGTTTGCGGTTAACGTGGCTAAGTTTGGACTGTAAAAAAATTCGATTGTATCCCCTTAATGTTCTTCGATTGCATACTAGTTTGTTTATAATGTCTACGTCGTGCACTTGGGAACCTAAGGGAGATATTGCATAATTTTTTACGATCAGAAATAGTCATATGAATCCTAAATTGCAACACATAAAGTGCACTTTCGAATAGGATAGCATCGTTACCAGAAGCATAAGGGGGAGATGAAGCGTATCAAATTATTATGATGACTAAATTCTCTAAAAATAGTCACAATGGGCAAAAAAGTGGATCAAATTGCAAGATAGAAGTTAAGACCAATATTCGGATCGAATGGGCAAATTTATTCAATTTGCAAACAACCGTGTTGGTGCTCATAATCGTATAAGATGTCCTTGCATGAAATGTAACAACTGTATTTAGGTGATACTGGACGAAGTCCAATATCTTTTGTATATGAATGGGATGGTACACATTTACTCCAATTAGACTGATCATGAAGTATTAGTATTACAACGGCAACATATTCCAGCAGTATAACACCTATGCATGAACTCTCTTCATATGGCCGTGTTGATGACGACTAAGAGATGGACATATTGAATGATATTTTTCCTAATGCTTCGCAAGCACTGGATTGCCCTAATGATTAGTGCATTCTTCTTCAACATGTTTGGATTTCAAATTCTTTTGTCTTCTTAGCGTAAATTAGTGTACAATATCACATATAGCAATTGGAATGATCATGGAGAATTATATCGGCAACATATTCTGGCAGTGGGATACTTGTGCATGAACTCTCTTCATCTGACCGTGTTGATGATGACCAAATGATGGACATATTGAATGATGCTTTTCCTAATACTTTCCTAATGTTTTCCCTAATGCTTTGCAAGCAGTTGGATTGCCATAGTGATTAGTGCATTCTTCTTCAACATGTTCAGATTTCAAATTCTTTTGTCTTCTTAGGGTAAAGTAGTATACAGTATCACATATAGCAATAGGATAACAAAACCAATAAATCCAAAATCGCAAAACTTTAGCAAACAAAAGCTGCACAAATAACTAAATCCATTTCAGTCTAACATCTATTATTAAGGTACTCTTACGATGAATTTTAGCTCAATCAATTAATAATCACATCTATTGTTGAGGCCTTAAGTTCAATCTTTTATCTTTTAATAATGTGGTACAAATTTGTCAATCACATAAGGTGAATTATACATCAAGAGTTTGACAAAATAATTTCTAATTTATGACATGGCTCCGTTCCTAATTATGTCGAAGCCTTTTAGGATTAAACGCCACTCATGTTGAACCAGCAAGTAGTTAAGTGGGTCACAATATCAGTGTTTGACTATTTGGCTCATCTTTCTGAAACTCTGACATGATATCAAAGCAGGGTTTATCTAAACCCGTACACAACCCTAATTAATAAGTATGTTCTAATAGTGTAGTATTTACGTGCTTGTCTTTCCTCGCCAACGTGTCTTCCCGTGTGACCGTGGTCCCATGTGAGGGAGATGTTGAAAATCTCACATCCGCTGTTTGACATAACAATTTACAACTTATAATTATATGATTTCATTCCTGATTGCACCACAGCTTTTATGATAAATTCCTACTTTTACTGGACTAGCAAGTGGTTAAGTATGCAATAATATTTGTATTGAACTATTTGGACAGTCTTTCTAAAACTTTGCCAAAAAATTATATCACTCATCAATAAAGATGAATACTATTAAATCATGACACTAGTGAATATGACAATATTAAAACCAAAGTGGAAAAGAAAAGGAAAAATGCTAGTTAATGTAAAATTTAATAGCCTTGGACTGACCCATGATCTCGCATGAAGGCCCTCGAGGTCCAATTAAATGGTTCACGGAACTCCACCTGCCTAGTGAGTAGTTTGAACTAAGAGAAATGCTAAGGAGACTCTTTAGCATTTCCCTTGAGCTAATCAGAAGCAAATCGCTTTGCTCTTTATTCAAAGTTCATACTCTAGTCTTTGGATTCCGAGCTAGCCAGGACCATGGGGACAAAGTCCAGACGAGATTCTCAACCAGATTAGCTTCTTAGGTGAAATTGTATACTAGTTTATGTTCTTTTATCTTCTTGTCTAGTGTCAACTGTTGCCAATGTTACTATGTTAGGATGGCTTGCATTGTTAATGCTTAGTACTTGAGGTAGTAATTACAGGTTTTTACATGCAAGTCCTCGAAAACAGCACACTTAAAACAACTTCAAACTCAATACTTTATAGAAAAAACATAATATACTCTGTAACACTAAAGAAGTTTCATAATTAAGAATTGACTAAAACATAACAAGTGAATAGATGAGGTATCTTTTTCACCAATTAATTAAGCTCTTGAAGTGTTTTTGTATAATAGTAGAAGTTGTCCAAATGTTTGTTCTAACTATGTTTTCCACCATTTCATAGGCCACATTGGCTTCCCAAAAAATAAATAATAAAAAAAAAAGGATCATTTTCATAGAATGAGGATCCTCTTTGTGAGGATCCTGAGGATTCTCAAATTGTGTCCGTTCATCGTTGCGTCAGAAATCATTTTAAATACTTTTATTTAAAATTAAATATGAACATATCTGATGAAAACTGATCACACGATGTACGATGAACAGACACGATTTGAGGATTTCCAAGATCCTCACAAAGAGGATCCAGAGAGGATCCTTATTCATTTTCATAAGCCAAAATTTCACTATTTGCAAAAATACTTTAATGGGTTTTTATCACAAATGGTCTTTAAAATTGACCCACTCCATCAAGAGACGGTCCTTGAATTGAAAATCTATTAATGTAGTTTCTAAAATGGATGTCGCAAATTAATATTGTCATTCCGTCACAACTCTGTCAAAAATCTATTAAGTACTGACGTGACACAAAATTAGGTCTCAAAAGTTTAATAAATATTGCCATGTAGATTAAAATATTTAAATAATAAAAAGTAATTTTGTTCTTATGTAATTAAAAACTTAAAAAAGAAAAAAAAAGAAGAAGAAGATGTACAGCTCTTCTTCTTCTTCCCCTCCCACCCTACCAACCACTACATTGCCACCACACCCGTCGCATAAGTAATTGTAGAGATGGCAACGGTTCGGTTTGGAAATGGAAATGCTATATTTATTCCTATAACCATGAAAATTAACTATATCCATAACCGCAAATTAACCATCATGTATAATTCATAACCATACCCCTATTGGTTAACGGGTATATCCATATTCGTCAATAAAAAAATATATTCGTTCAGTTGAGACATTTGATGTATAAATGTTCCAATAAATGGATCTTGTTGAGTATAAAAATTAAAACATTGACGATTTTGACTTGTCTTTGATATCTCCCATAAGCACCATTGAGTTTTCATTGATTTTGATTCAAAATTTTACTTTCCTACAAAATGCAACTTTTGTATTCTCAGGGTAATGAATATACAAATACATACATACATACATACATATATATATTATACTATTATATTATATATAAACTACATTTTTTACTATTCGGGTTGGATTCGGTTATGGATACGGTTTGGGAACCGCTATAACCATATCCAAAATCATAACCTAATAATATAAACGGTTTTTCCCCATATCCAAAATATATCCAAACTTCCATACCCAAATCCGTTCCATTCGGGCGGTTATTGGGTTTAATGGTTAGAATTGTCATCCCTAACTACAACCAAATAGATAGCCCATCATATCCATATAGGAGAACTTTGTTAACCTTTTTTTTTTTTTTTTTTTTGCGCCACGAATCATCATCAATTATATATAGGGATGTAGGGGTGGACACTTAAAACCGAAACACAAACTATATCGGACTGCACTGAACGGTTCGGTTTTGCGATTTTGAAACAATTTCGGTTTTGAAACCAAACCTCAAAGTAGGAAACAGTTTGGTTTCGGTTTTG